AATCAGCCCGCCCTCCCCAGCGAGAGGCTCAGGGCTCTTTGCACAGAGCAGACTGATTGGGCGGAACTGATTAATCACCTGTGAAGCTGTGCAACTTAGAGGGAACACTGATAGGCAATAATTTTTTTGGATGGGGGGGCCACTTCAAGAATTTCTTAAGTATTCAAGGGCCGCATTCTTCTATGATATTAATGGAGGAAGTGCATGGTCTTGGATGGAGATTGGGTGCAGAAGACTATTCTGACCTGAGGGGAGGATGCAGAAGGGGATGCAGAGTCTGGGAGTGGGTTGTGACAAAGGGCAAGGGGATAGGAAGGGGTTCAGAGGGATTGGGTTGCAACCTGGTGCAGGGATTTGGGAGGGAAGAAGGGGATGGGTGCCAGGTGCAGGCTCTATCCAGGAGATGCTTACCATAGTAAGAATTGTGCTGGGGACAGGGCCAGCGCTCAGAACCCTGACTCACGTGTGCACATGGCCACAGCTACAGGCCACTGAGTGGCTTGTGGCTGCCAGGGTTACTCTGGGCTGGGGGACATTGGTAGCCGAGGGTGTTGTGGCAAGCTGCATCTGGCCAGCCAGCCAAATTTTACCCATTCCCAAAACAGAACTTCTATTAAAGCAAACAGCACAAAAGGGAAACAGACCCTTACATTAGGCATTAAATATTGAGCACCGAGAAAGGCAAATGCACACTTGAACTGCTGAGAACTATTGAACCATTAGACAAAAGCACTTCCATACAAAATGATCAAGACAAAATGGGATCTAATACAGATTGAACCTCTCTAGTCTGTCACACTCTGGTCCAGCAACATCTGTGGTCCGGCATGATTTTACTTAGTTGGTTGTCTGCTTATCATGGGTGTGGTCAAGTTTCCCACAGCGTCGTATAGTTTGTTTACAGCCACAAGTCCTGTGCTGTTATTTAGCTCTAAATTACCCCCTAAATGTTGTTTAAGAGACCAATAAGCAGTGGAAATGCTGCTAAATGTAAGCATGTTTTTTATGCTTTATCTACTGATTTCCTTGTGGCAATACAATACATTTGTATAACCCTAACACTTTGTTATGAAGAGAGCAGATAAACTTTGGCTAGGCGTAGGCTTATATAGGATGTATCAGTATAGTCATTCATTATTAAGCAACATTGCAAGCGTTGTTCCATTGATTCACCACAGTGAAATAAAACTGAAGAGACCCACTCCCTACAATATTGACCTCCCATAGCTTGGAAATTTTTTTTTGGCACAGTTCAGTTCCTGCAGGTGCCGGACTAAAGAGAATCAACCTGTAACAGCTTAGCTGTTTAACCTTGCCCCACTGAACCAGCTAGAACCCAGCTAGCCAGATATTTTCAACAAATAGCTAATTTAAAGACAGATACTACAAAATCTTCAGGTACATCTACACAGCAGTATTATTTCAGAATAACTGAAGTTATTCCAAAATAACATAATCTGCGTTGACACTACAAGCAGTTATTTCAACAATATCAAAATAATGTTGAGCTGGAGGACTTCTTACTCCGACCCCTGTAACCCTCGTTTTATGAGGAATAAGGGAAGTGAGAGCACTCTCTCGAACTTCCTACTGTATAAACAGTGCCAAAAGCCGAAATAAGCTATTTCGACTTAAGCTATGCAATTAACGTAGATCAAGTTGCGTATCTTATTTTGGCTTTAGCTCTGATGTGTAGACGTGCCTTTAGTATCCTGAGTACTTTTTACTCATTAGATTAGTCTTACTGACCTTAACAAGAATGGCATTAGACCCTACATGTATTTAATTTGGTTTTGTGGCTGAGGAATGCATTTATCTCCATAAATTATAAACATGTAAGTGATAAGTAAGTATCAACAGATCAGGATTACGGATCTATGTTAATGTACTTTAGGCATAGGAGATTGCTAGGATTTAAAAGGTCAAAATATTCAAACCTGATTGCCAAAAGTCAGTCACCTAAATAAAAGAAGACTGGTTTTCAGATTTCAACTCTCATTAAGGGGAGTGGCAGGTATTTCAAACCTCTAAGAATCAGGCCTCTTAACGTCTCGTGCAATACCAAGCACCTTGTTAGAGCTCACATGTATTTTTAGAATTTATTTTTTGTTAACAAACCTAGTTAAGAATTAAGATACCTACGTATACAGCAATCCTACTAAAAAGATGAAATACACAGAAAACAGTGCTCACATTTTTCAGATAAACAAAAACAGAAGTATTATGTCTGTCTTTTTGTTACAAATTCTTATTACGGATTAAAAGACTTTCTGATGCCAGGGAATATATATTAGACTCAATAAAATAAATTGATGCAATTAGTAGGATAATATGATTTTTAAAAATTCTTTAAGGCAGGTGTTCTTAGAAGCACCATGGGAACAGCTGTCACATCTACAAATCAATCACTAATCTGAAGAAAAACGACTTCTGGTATAACATTAAGACAATTTGCAAGTGTTCTTCTGCACTAATGCAGTTCCCATGGTGTTACCAATGGTGAAAGCAATAGCATATGCAGGGTGCAGTTTCTGAGCGATCTATCATAAGTGACTCAAGCGAGGTTTACACGGACAGAGAAAAATCGATGCAAGATATGCAACTCCAGCTATGCGAATTGTGCTGCTAGAGTCGATGTACCTTGTACCGATTTTCTGGGGTGGCCCCACAGCGGGAGGTCGACAGGAGAAACACTTCTGTTGACTTCCCTTACTCCTTGCGATTGTGAGGAGTACCAGTGCTGATGGGGGAAAATTTCCAAACGCTAGAAGATCGATCGCCAAAGCGTCGATCCTCCAGTAAAAAGAGACGTGACCTCAGTGATTAAAAAAATTCACACAGCTTCCACAGCTAGTAGCCCAAGTGGCGCTGTACCGTTGCAGAAAAATTAATGCATATTTCCTACTATATGTGAAAGATGTGGGATTATTTTGTTTTTACATTTATGAAAAGAAAAATTCTATGATCCTCATGGTAAATAATAATTTTAAAGAGCAAACCAAAACCAATCAAACAAAAAATCCCACAAATCACAAGATGACTTTGTTCAAAAAAGAACAGAGGAATGATATGCCTACAGATTCTTTGATGAATAGTTTATACTATGTTCTTTGAAGAAGTGTAGAGCAAAATTGAATACCAAATAAGACCTACAGTATACTGAACAATGTCCAAGGACTCAAGAAAGTGAGAACCTACAAGCAACCCTTCAGGAATGCTGTTGAACTTAAGGAAAAGAGTACAAAAGCACTGCAGGGCAGAAAGAAGAAACAGACTTTAGGTACAAGTACCTATGTAGCAGCATGCGGATTGTTCTTCAGCTCTGTCACCACTCTGCATATTGTAAATGTTGTGTAAAATTCAGGATAAAGTTTGAATATTAATATAGTGTGTATTTTAAGTTACTAATGTGCTATTCTGTTTCATTTGTGCAGCGGTGGGATATCAAAATGTAATGAAATCTTTAAAAAATAAAGTAGCATAATACTGTGAACAGGCCATGCAATTATTTCATATTTTTCCTAAGCCTGTTAGATTATTCTTGAGCAGTTCCAGAATACAGAATGAAGCAGGCTCATCTTAACACTACCTTTCACAATGCATTAACAAAATTACTTTTTATAGAATGTACATTATTGCACAACTTATACCATTTTACACACACACACACACACACACACACACACACACACACACACAGAGGTCTTTCCATTGGAATGAAGAAATACTTGTTCAAGCACATGGAGTTTGGCACTGAATCACAAAGTGACACTAGAGCTGGGCTTTGTTCAGTGCAACAAAGCCCGAAAGCATAAAGGGCTCATTTCAACATGGGGTGTGTACCCTCAGTTCCCACTGACTTAGGAACTGATAGAGCACCACACCTTGCAACCTCCTGCACAAATTTTAGATATGGGCAGAAAATGTTTTCAGTTGACATTTTCCATAGAGAAAATGAAAACCAGCACCTGTTTTCTGCCCTTAGCAGACCAAAATAAATCAATTTTCATTGAAAATTTCAACATAACATTTTGACTTTTCATGAAAGAAACTAAAAGTTTTAGTTTTCAACTGATATTTTTTTTCAGTTTTCCAATACAAAAGTAAAATAAACCAGATGCTACCCAAGAAGCCAGATGCCTTCTGTGAAACATTTCACTCTCTCAAAAACCCAATTTCCATTTAAACAAAACAAAACAGTTGTACCGACAATGTCTTACTAGCTTATTTGCAGACATGAAGCAACAGAGATTTTTTAAAAATATGGATGCAATTTGCATATAGAGTTCTTAAAGATTCAAATATCTAAAATGTGCTATATATACATATGCTATCTAAAATACGAATTTAATATTTTGCCTCTTAGAACAAAAAAAAAAAAGGTCATACTGGTAACAGAAGTTTATATGTAAGTTGTTTAATGGCTAAATAAACACTTTTTGTATTTCTATAATGCTATGAACAAAGAAAAAGAAAGTGAAGAACAGTTTTATCTTTGTAACTACAGAAATTTTCTGTTTCCCCCCCCAATAACTTAGATGATAGTGAGATTTTGATTAAGAAATAGGACAAAAACAAACCTAGATCCAAAGGACCAATTGTATACCTTTTGAGAAGAGGTCAGACTTGGCCTAATAGGTAGTTTTCATTTTTGTCAATTACTGTGTGTCAAACTAGATTGGCTTAGATTCTATAAATCTGGACTAATCAATGATAGTGCTTTGAATGTGTGAAAAATAAGTTTCCATGGGCTTAACTCACCATCCTTCCATTTTGTAACTTTGAACCTGAATCATATATAGCAGGATTGGCTGATAATATTCAGAAAGGTTTCAAGTAGAATAAGGCATGCACATTTCCTTCTATAATTTTCAATAAAAAGTGTTTAAATATTAACGTAGTGCTAAATTAATTGATAAAGTATTAAGCAACTGATTTAGTTGCTGTTTCTTGCATAAAAAATAAAATGCCGCAGAGAAAAAATAGCAGAGAATACTTACATGTTTAAAACAGGTAACGGGAGCTGCTGTTAAATTATTGCTAGCAATGTAGTTACCCCAACTGAAACCTTCCACAGGGACAGCTGCTAAAAGAAAGTTATTGTGTTTAGGAAGCTGCATGGGGGTGAACAGTAGATCTTACGTTGCCAAGAATTGGTTTCATTTCTAGAATACACAGTTACCTGTTTTAGTCTTCACTTGGTTCTGTAACGTTGCCTGGTACTGTGCATATGCTGCTAGTTTAGCCACTAGAGGTTGTTTCTGAAGAACTTTAGCCTTTTTAGTTGGAGGTTTACCCTAGGATAATAAGAGTTAAGTAAACAAAGCCTTTCAAAACTCCCAACTGGACATTTCAAAAAAATATGCCTCTCACAAACAAGAACAATACACAATTAATTTTGTAAACAAAATGCATCTCTCATAAGGCTATTCTGGTAGGCAACAATTTTAACAAATAAAACATAGTGTGGAAGTTGTCCATTCAAATACCACATGAGCCACATTTGGTATTAGTATGAAACTTAGACACAAAAAACAGACTCAAGGAAATGTCCAAAACATTATTTTTGCCTGGGTATGGAAACTTGCACAGCACACAGCATCTGCTACTGTTCTACAGATAATGGGTAAAGCGACTAGACATCTGCAATGATCAAAAAGATGACAGACAGAATCCTAAATCTAATTCTAAAGGGCCATATCATAGCAGTTTAGTCTATGCCCGCAGACTTCAGTTGAAGTCCCATGTGAGCAGGAGTAAAAGTAACTTAAATTTCTGACAGAAAACTGTCATATTGCAGCCTCCCCTCGGGGGGCATCAGGAGGAGGCGGGGAGTTGGGATAGGACAAGAAATGTGAGTGTGGGATGCAGTGCAGAGGGCTCAGGGTAGAAGATTGTGAGGAGGCGCAGGGCAGAGGAGTGCGGTGGTGTGTGGGGAGTTCGGGGCTGAGAGTGTGAGCACAATGCCATCTGAGCTGGCTCAGCCACTGGGGCTGGCTGGGGTGCTGGCAACTGCACTGTCCAGCTGCCTGAGCACCGGGGTTGGAGCCCAGGTGTGCTGTAACCACAGCGCTCAGGGTGTAGTGACACAACCAATTTTTGTTACTACACTGGGAGCATCCAGTTCCCTGCCCCCAGTTGGCCAGTCTCTTACAGGGCGCCATACTGGGACACACGGGCTTACTTTCACCTTTGGGGTCAGGTTGCTCCACTTCCCAGCTATGCCACCAGTGAGTACAAGTAGGGCTGCCAGCACCACGCCTCCTACTAGTCCTCTGGATCGCATCACTAGGGGGAAGGGACTTGGAAGAAGAGGTGGAATGGGGGTAGAGTAGAGGCAGGGGTTGGGGGAAGGAATGGAATAGGGGAGGGATGGGCAGGAAGAGGCAGGGCAGAGGTACCAAGAGGTGGGGCCCCTCCCTTTGGCTAGGGGTGGTGAGAAAGAGTCATGGGGGGCAGTCATGTGCCCCCCCTTGTGTCCCTCCCCAGCAGTCACCACTGTGTGTGGCATCTGAATAATCCATAGATTTAGTCTAAAGTATTTGTTGGCTTCACAGATCGCACTGGCTAAGCTATTTCTGTCATTTTATTCTCAAATTAGATATTCTTAAGCAGCCCTGCAGTTTTAACTTTGGCATGTTATTAATGGTTCACAATCCTGCTGGAAAGGTATAACAAGTTGGGTTCCTCAGAGGTCTGTTTTGGGACCAGTTCTGTTCAATATCTTCATCAACTATTTAGATATCGGCATAGAGAGTACGCTTATTAAGTTTGCAGATAATACCAAGCTAGGCGGGGTTTGGAGGACAGAGTCATCATTCAAAATGATCAGGACAAATTGGAGAAATGGTCTCAGGTAAACAGGATAAAGTTTAATAAGGGCAAATGCAAAGTGCTCCACTTAGGAAGGAACAATCAGTTTCATACATACAGAATGGGAAGCGACGGTCTGGGAAGGAGTATGGCAGAAAGGGATCTAGGGCTATGTCTAGACTGCAAGCAGTACTTTCGAAAAAGCAAGCCTGGATGCTCTCTTTCGAAAAAGCCCTGTTTGCATTTTTTTGAAAGAGCACTTTTGAAAAAAGGCATTCTTCCTCGTGAAGTGAGGAGTACCGTCGTCAAAAGAAGAGCCGCGTTCTTTTGATTTAATTTCAAAAGAATGCGCCTGTAGTCTAGACACAGGTGAAGTTTTTTAAAAAAAAAGGCTACTTTTTTCGAAAAAACCCTGCAGTCTAGACACAGCCTAGGAGTTATAGTGGACCACAAGCTAAATGTGAGTGAACAGTGTGATGCTGTTGCAAAAAAAAGAAAACATGATTCTAGAATGCATTAACAGGAGCGTTGAAAGCAAGACACAGGAAATCATTCTTCTGCTTTACTCTGCGCTGATTAGGCCTCAGTTGGAGTATTGTGTCCAGTTCTGGGCACCACATTTCAAGAAAGATGTGGAGAAATTGGAGAAGGTCCAGAAAAGAGCATGAAGAATGATTAAAGGTCTAGAGAACATGACCTATGAAAAAAGACTGAAAGAACTGGGCTTGTTTAGTTTGGAAGAGAGAAGATTGAGAGGGGTCGTCAAAAGAAGAGCCGCGTTCTTTTGATTTAATTTCAAAAGAATGCGCCTGTAGTCTAGACACAGGTGAAGTTTTTTAAAAAAAAAGGCTACTTTTTTCGAAAAAACCCTGCAGTCTAGACACAGCCTAGGAGTTATAGTGGACCACAAGCTAAATGTGAGTGAACAGTGTGATGCTGTTGCAAAAAAAAGAAAACATGATTCTAGAATGCATTAACAGGAGCGTTGAAAGCAAGACACAGGAAATCATTCTTCTGCTTTACTCTGCGCTGATTAGGCCTCAGTTGGAGTATTGTGTCCAGTTCTGGGCACCACATTTCAAGAAAGATGTGGAGAAATTGGAGAAGGTCCAGAAAAGAGCATGAAGAATGATTAAAGGTCTAGAGAACATGACCTATGAAAAAAGACTGAAAGAACTGGGCTTGTTTAGTTTGGAAGAGAGAAGATTGAGAGGGGACATGGTAGCGGGTTTTAGATATTAATAGGATCAATTGTTCTTCCGGGCCTCTGAGGATAGAGCAAGAAGCAATGGGCTTAAACTGCAGCAAGGGAGGTTCAGGTTGGACATTAGGAAAAAGTTCCTAACTGTCAGGGTGGTTAAACACTGGAATAAATTGCCCAGGGAGGCTGTAGAATCTCCATCTCTAGAGATATTTAAGAATAGGTTAATGTCTATCAGGGATGGTCTACAAAGTACTGGGTCCTGCCATAAGGGCAAGGGACTGGACTGATAACCTCTCGAGGTCACTTCCAGTGCTCGTATTCTATGATTCTATGTTTTAATTCTCATTCTTCCCCCCTCCTTTGTTAATTTGGTTTATTTCAAATGTTAATTAGCATGGTTGTGTTATAAAAATAACACAGATAAAGAGGCTGAAACCTCAGGTAGCAAGTGATCAAGGTTATAGCCTACCATTGTCTCTCACATACACATAATCCCTAGCCATGTCACTCTGCTTCCTGTCGCTGGTGAGTGCATGGGGTGGTTCCACCTCTTCCCCCATCCCCCACCACTAATCCCACACCAGGCCCCCACTAATTCCCCCAATTGCCCGTAGCCCTGAGCTCCCCTGGGCAGCTGTTTGGGGAGGGGGCATGTGACCCTTTGTGCCCCCATTGTCCTTGGGCACACACATTTAAAACCTCTTTCCACTGCAAGTGCACTGTGACCATGGTAACAGAGTTTCTTTAATTCCTCTGCACAATGAACCTAAGGGTAAGTCTACACTATAGGGACAGGGAAATCTAAGCTACGCAATTTCTGTTAGTAGCATAACTCAAATGAACAGATCTTCAATCTATTTACCACAGAGCCCACACCACCCTGTATCAACAGAAAAAACTCTTCTGTCAACTCCTGTAGTGGTCTCATTCTAGTTGATAGGAGAGCGACTGGTGGTCAATTTATTGTGTCTATACTAGACATGATAAATCAACACCCGCTGGATCAATTACTGCTCCCTCGATCCAACCCGTAGTAAAGACATGTCCTAAATACCCACACAAAGTGCACCATAAGAATTCCTTGAACAGCACCATGTAAGGCACAAGTGGACCAGAGCAATAGCCACAGCACAGATCTTCCTTTCATCCACCTGCCCTGGCCTGTGGCCCACAGAAACTATTTTGGCTACTCAGTTGATGGAGCAGCAGAAACTCGTTTCCTGTCATTCCATTCAATATATCTGTAATCCACTCTGGTTAGGTGTTGAGCACAAGATTTGTTCCTTGACACTTATAAAGTATTGATCTCTATTTTTGTTATTAGCGAGGACATATTTCAGATGAACACATTTCTGAAATCAGCTTTGAGCAGTTAAATATCTGGCTTAGTTTAACTTTAGCCATGTTGCTAATGTAACTTTTTAATCTTATTTTCCTGTAAGCACTAAAAAGACCAGGTTTTAGGTTTAGAATTTACTCAGCAACAGGAAATTTGCACTCTGTGTCAACAGCAGATTAATAATTTGGTACGTTTTGACTTACAAACGCAGATATGTTAAATGTTACTATGAGTTAATAAAAAAAATACCTAATTAAAAAAAAACACAACATGCATGAGTTCAGATAAACCAGACCAGACAGAGACATTCTAATTTGTAAAACATGTAAGAGTAAGTATATAAAACAAAGTGGTTTCTGTACCGTTACCTGAAGTCTGGCCAGAATGCTGGCCTTCTTGGAGTTCGACGAATAACTTCGGGAGCATGAAACACTGCAGAAACGCTTTGTCTTAGAGTAAAAAGCATCTCTGACACCGACCATCCCACACATCTCACAGGTAGCTAATCAGAGGAGAAAAAAGGCTCAGCTGTAAAGAGTGGTAAAAATTTCAGATTAAATGAGAAGTCAAACTCAAATGTAAGGATACCATGATGAAAGCCTTATGGGTTGCACCCCATTTAGCTTCATTTTCACTATTTAGACACCAAGCCATTGATCCTGAAAACCCTTGCGTGTCCTTAACGTTACAAAATGACCAGTCCTAGTGACATCTGTGCAACTACTCAAATACCAACGTCTTTGTTGATTCAAGGCTGAAATGGTCCCCCTCCTCAGTTTTCAGGGGCACAAAGGAATGACTCATCCAAACTTGGTCTTCACACTGCATGATACCCAGTACTAAGGTTAAAGAGACTTCTTCAAAGTCTGTGAAAGCAGACTTCATTGGATGTTTACTACTCCCAATCCAAAATAAGACTTGTGTCATTTTTCTACTGTCCCTTGAATCACACACAAATCTCTCCCACGTATTGTGGCCAGTCAGCAATCTCATCCTGCTGGAACCATATGCTTTATGGGTTCCACTACAGTCATTTCTAGGATACCCAGAGAAACAGAGATCACAAATGACTTGTACCATTGCGTTGCCCCAAGTGGGTTTTAGCACAAAAGAATGCCACTGACGGGCAATATATCTGCCCTATTGTTTTTCCTTGATGATGAAAGTGATCTTCCCTTTTTCTCAAAATAACGTGGTCCCAAAGATACGGAGCTGAACAGCGGCATTCTGACAGAGTTGACTTAACAGTGGTAAAGAATTTTTACTACCACAAAAAGAAAACCAACTGTGACAGGGTCAGGGCAGAGGACTAGATAAGAGAGAGAAAGGCAGCTCTAAAAGGCAGCAAGGGCCTTGGCTAATCAGGAACAAGGGAGACAGGGCTGCTGTAAATCAATCAGGGCCAGCTGATCTCACGTGAGGCTGCCACTGAGCCTTTTAAAAAGAAGCCTTCCCAGCAGGGAGGGGAGGAGAGTGGGAGAGGAAATTGGAGTGAGACCAGACCAGACCAGGGAGAATAAACAGAAAAAGTGAGAAAGGAAATGGCAGCATTGCCAGAGACTGAGAAGAAGGTGAGATGCTCCAAGAAGGGGGTCTGGATTCCCTTTCCCACGGCCGCCTGAGAATCCAGCCAGTTGCTGGAGCGGTCTGTTTATCCAGCCCAGGCTGACCATGGGGCACCTGCCTCTATGCTCTTTGTAGCTGAGGGACAAAAGTTCAAACCCTGGCAAGGGCAAGCAGGCCCAGTCTCACAGAACTGAGACTGCCAGCTACAGGATGGAGCAGAGATCTGGGAGCCACAAGCAGGATTACCCTGCCATACAATATAAAAAAGTGGGAAAAAAATGCAACTCTAAATTCACCTTCGAAAAATGTTGATGTTAAAAGACAGTTAATCCAAACATTGAGAAGACTGCGAACGAAATCTTATCTGAATACAAATTTACTTGATGTTAACCAAAAAAAAAAACCCCACACAAATATTTGCATCTTCCTTGCTAGGTGAATAGAAAAGTATTTCTTGTTTCTCATTGTTAGAAGTAAAAGCCTTCAACTAGTTTGCTTTGTTCTCATAAAGCAGGAAGAAGTCAACATGCATCCTTACACTCATGCAAATGACATCTCAGCTTGAAATAAAACACAGAATATGGTGATAGGAGAACCATAAGATCTAGCTGGAAGCCTAAAAACTGAATTTTAGAAAATCTTTATACTCACCCATGCCAGATTTACCATCTGGATAAGTATAGACCTGTCCATTATTCTTGATAATAGGGAGACTTGATGGTAAGGGGGCAACTTCTTCTTCACTCTCATCAGAGCTTGAGCTGCTACTAGTGTCCTCACTACAACTATCATAACCGTCAAACATCCCGAATGAGTCACGTCTCTTCCTTTCTGGCCGTGAAGAATGCTCAGTCTAAAAGCAAAACATAAAAGACACAAGATAAATTAGAATACTCTTAATGTAAAGGTTTTGGAGATACAGTAAACTGCTGGCTGAATTAAAGGATTTTCTTTAGATACATAGAGATATCAGCCATGAACTAGGGATGTTAAATATCAGTTCATTGAATAGTTAATTAACCTCATGAATTTGTATCGGTTACTTGACTATTCTATAGTACCCGGGGGTGGGCCAGCAGCTAGTGAGCTTTGGCCCCACTCCTGAGGAACCCCCTGCCACTCCATGCTGCTGCTTCTGTATCAGAGGCAGCAGCACGGGATGGCAGCAGCCCCTGTCTGGGGAGGGGTCTGAGCTTCTAGACCTGATGTGAGTCAGAACTGAGCTGGGCTGCCTGCCTGCCTGGCTCCTAATATACTTTAAATGCAGAGCCGCAGCAGGGATAGGTCCCACACCCGGCGCAAGCTGAGACTGAGCCAGGCTGCTGGCCAGCTTGCTAAAAAAAAAAAAAAAAAAAATCTACTGGCAGGAGGACAGGAAAATTAATTTAATTTAATTTATTTGAATTTAATGTATTTATTAATTTATAAAATGCATGTAGTCTACAGTATTAACCTATAAGCTTTTTCTTATCGATGAATCGACTACACTATTACATCACTACCATGTACCTGCTAATAAAATTGTTCAGGACTGAGAACTTCTAAACTTTCTAAAGGCAGAATTAGTCAGTATTTATACAAGAAAAAAATCCTGTCTTGTAATAGAGCAATGTGACAAGTCAAATCTTGTCTTTTGTTGACATCTCTCCAGAGTTCAGTAATCCTGGTATCTAGAGTATTGACAGAGTTGGAACACATAAGAAAGTAAGTGCATCCTAAAAGGCTGCAGCCAAATTCACTAAAAACGTTAATATGCCTGTGGAATCCCATGTCTACACTCCTAAGTTATTTCAAAATAAATTATTTTGAAATAACTCCCAAAATAACTAATTTTGAAATACAGGCAGTCCCCAGGTTACATACAAGATAGGGACTGTAGGTTTGTTCTTAAGTTGAATTTGTATGTAAGTCGGAACTGGTACATATTGTAGGGGAAACTCTAGCCAAACATTTCTCCAGAGCTCAGTTTTATTCTCCCACACCTCACTACCCTCAGTCCTTTATTCTCAAGCTGAGGTGTCTGCTGAGAAAAGCCGCTCCACCTCTCCCTGGTCTGCTGGGCGGGGGGAGGGGGACGCGCTAGCTTCGCATCTCCCTAGTCTGCTGGGGGGAAGTAGCTAGTGCGGGGGTGCCTCACCCCGGTTGTACCCGGGGACTGCCTGTAGTGCATCCCTACTACAGGGAAGCCTCAAAATTAGTCCAAGGCAGGCTCCGTTAATGTGGATGTACTACCTCGACTTAAGAGCCCCAGGAAGCACTGAAGAATAATTACTTTGAATGACTTTGGGGAGTAACTATTTTGAAATAACAGCAGCTGAGAATCCACACTAACCCTATTTTGAAATAGCAATTCCTCGTTGAATGAGGGGTTATTATTTTGCTATAGCAAGCCCGGGCTTGCTGTGTGAACACTCACCCTGTTATTTCAAAATCAGGGGAGTTGTTTTGAAATAACTCTATAGTGTAGACATGCACAGACCTCAGAAAAGTTTGTTTGATCAGAAAGAAAGGATAGTTTGGTGGGTACAGCACTAGTTGAGAATTTGGGAAGCCTGTGTCCAAATCTCTGCTCCACAACAGACTTCCTGGACAAATCACTTATCCCCTCACAGGCTCAATTCCTTTTCTATAGAATATGATACTTAAGATTGTAAGATGCTCAAATACTGCAGCAATAGGGGCCACGAAAATAGTTTCAATAGAAAGGTGACTAATTTGTCATCTGAAGAAGTGGTTTGTACCCACAAAAGCTCATGATACCATCTATATGTTTTGTTAGTCTTTAAGGTGCTGGTAGACTATTCGTTAATTTGTTACTATTACATACAAGAAGAAAATCCTGCCTAAAGGTAGTTCTTTCCTTTACCCCAGGTCATATACACATGTGAAGTTCACTGTTGGAATAGAAGAGGTTTCAGAAATTCACAGTGAAGACATTCAGAATATATAAAACAAATGTACTGATGTTCTATTTTGCTGAGCATCTAGAATATATATTTTACATGGCATCTTTCACTTCAAAGGATCCCCAAATGCTTCACAAAAAAACCCAATGAAATGTAGTCACTGCCAGAATGGAGTGCAAGAAATTACTGATTCAGCACACTGCGTAATAATCCAAATGTGGGATTTTGGCCAAAGACACTAAAGCTCTATTCATATCCATTCCCCTTAATGTTCACACATTAGAAGACAGTGGGCTCCATTCTTCTTTCATTTATCACCATTCTAAATTGACATACCTCTAATGAGTTGCATTAGTCCCAATCTATGATGGTGAGAGAAGATTTAGGCCCAGTGTCTGTTTAAAAACAACTAGCAGTCCTGTGGCACTTTTGAGACTGACAAATTTATTAGGCCACTAGGGGACTGTGCCCCCACTTGCTGTGCTCGCCAAGCCTCATCTTGCAGGGGGTAGGCAACCTGGGCTCTCCCCACCAGCCACCAGGAATGGCCAAGCTGCAGCCCTGCTAGCCAAGTCACTTCTCCCTCCCCCCAATCCACCACCAGCCTGGGCCACTTCTCCCTCCCCCACCAGCCCAGGTTCTTTCTCTTCCCCTCTCCAACCCCACCCCCTCTCCCAGCTGCAGCACATGCCAAGCCTGGCTCTAACCATGGTGGCTAGGGAGGCGTAGGGATGCCTGCTTGCCCCGCGTGGGGTGCAGTAAGACGCAGGTAGTGCTGTGTGCATGCAGTGCTCTGGGGCACGGCAAAATGCTGAGGTGAGGAAGCAGCAGCAGCATGGGGGGCCACTGTCCCGACACCTCTACGATGCGGTCCTGTCTGCATTCTCACCATCCCAGCCCTACCTATCCGCCCGCCAGGAGCAGAAGGGAAGAAGCAGACAAGTCAGTGCAGTGGTTCCCCCTGGGCAGCTTGGGGGTGCTCTGGCAGCTGTGGTAAGTTCAGCCCCTGGGGAGGGCGTGAGTCTCTGTGGGGGCAGCCAGACTCCAGGCAATCGGGCACCATGCTCCAGCACCCCAAGAGCCTCCTGCTGGCACATAAGTCTGGCTGGGAGCCCCACCCACTCCTAGCACTTGTCCACAGGCTGCTGTCCTGAGCACCGTACTTCTGCCCCTCACCCCGGACCCTGGGCTGTCATGGCTGCGATTTGGGGTCTGCTGGCTAGGTTTCTTGGTGTTGAAAGCCCTGTGGGGTGGAGGAAAGGGAGTAGGGGCTTGGTTTAAAATAGCAATTCCAAGTGGCGAGAGGAAGCAATGAGGTCGGGTTCGAGCTGAGAGAGGGAAGAAAGGGAGGAGGCAGGCAGTATGTACAGTGGAAATTGAAGCACAAGAAGTTTACTCCAGTTGTCTGAAACTGGACTCGAAGGCTGCAGCCAAACCAGGAAAAGAATATAGTCCTCACCCAACTGACTGCTCTTCACTCCCTGGATATAAATTAATAGGAGTTGGTAAGGAGACAGATCAGCAAAATAGGATGAAGAGAGAAATTCAATTGTAAGCGTGGGCTGTGGGAGGGAGCAATGAACAACAGCTGAAAGAAACTCAAAGCTAGGTTTTGACCCTGATAGGACGTTAAAATGTGATTCATTTACTAATTGAGTAGTCGATGTTTTATCATCAACTACTAGATTAGTCGATAATGGTAGGCAGTTCAAGCGCATTCTGGCTCACGCTGGTTCACAGCATAACCTCTCCAGTTGCTACTCTGCATTTTACAGCACAGGGAAGATCAGCCCCTGCTCGGAGGGTCTCTTATGACTCAGCATACAACCCTCTTCCCTCCCAGCTGCCAGTGTATTTTACAGCACAGGGAAAGCTCTTATTAAAAGACCCATGAAGCAGGGACTGACCCAGCCTCTCTGTGTGATAGCTTCCCTGTGCTGTAAAATGCAGAGCAGCAGTTGGGAGGATGCAATTAATCAATAGTGCTAACCAATAAGCTCCTGCTTATCGGTTAGTCGACTAGTCGCTAACATCTCTAACCCATGATACTTTTGATGAAAGATGGTGTGTTCAGTAAGGGTATGGATACACTACGGGAGAAGGTCAAATTAAGATATGAAACTTCAGCTATATTAATTGCTTAGCTGAAGTCGAAGCATCTTAACTCAACTTTTGGTGCTGTCCACACTGCAAGAAGTCGAAGTGAGAACACTCTCCCTTTGACTTCCCTTACTCCTTGTGGAAGCAGGACTACTGGTATCAACCGGAGCATCCCTCTCGGTTTGAATTAGCTGTCTTCATTACACCTACTAGTTCAAAACCTGGAAGATTGACAGTGGAAGCTTCGATCTTCTCTGTAGTGTAGATGTACCCTAAGAGACTGGAAGTGATATTAAAAAGAGTGGAGTTCACTTATCCTTTATATACTTGACCTGCTCCATTTACTGCCAATTTAAAGACTTCTCCACAATAATCCCCCAAATCTTTTTCCTGGTCAGCATGCTAGGCGACTGTTCCATTGAGAACACACTTATTTTACATTTGATACCTGCTGGCCCAATCATCCAATCTGGTACGACCATTCCTACTCAGAATGTCTTAGGATACTTGCTTTCAATCCTTACATCTTTCTACCACTCTCCTTTTTTAATTTTTAATGAAGATCCTCTACTCTTTCCTGGCAATATATCTGTCTTGGTATGGAGAGTACTCTTCTAATATTCAGAATAGAATATAGTTTCTAATCTTATCCAGTCCTAGCCTCCCCCCAAACCAAAATAAAGCCACCAATAAATGTGTTTTTACTCCATTATGTATCTCACTAACAGTTCTCAAAGTTCAAAAAATTAAATGCATTGTCAACTACAGGGAAATTCCTTAGCTAGTCATTCTAAATAAATAAATAAATAAAAAGACAACCAGGTGAACCAAAGGAATTCCCTTAGAG